ATTTCAATTAACAACTTATAACACAAGTATACAAATAGAAGTTAAGATATTAGATTAAATAGATGATATCAAAGCCATTTATTTTTTATAACCATTCTATCCTATTAATAAATCTTAACCATCCAATTCTAAACGCACGGGAGTCTCAAACCACCCCCCCCCCTCCTCTCTCTCCCCTATATATACTGACCAACCTCATTCTTTTTAGCTCCAAAATCAGCAGCCTCTCTCTTAGCTCTCTCTTGCAAAACCTTCCCTTCTTTTTTTTCCTCGGGTTCAAGCTAAGCTTCTCTTCCCACTCCCTTCCCAGGAAAAAAACAAAAAAAAAAAAAAACAAAAAAAAGAACTATGAGAACAGACATAAATAGCATCTGGGTGTTTCCTCTTGCATCCAAATGCACAGGTTTTACTCAAGAAAACATTGCATGGCCGCTTTTTGTCGTCGCCCTCGGTTGGCTGCTCATAACTCTACTCTACTGGGTGTTCCCCGGTGGTCCAGCTTGGGGCAAGTATTGGTTCAAAACATTTTCTTTCAAATTTGTTGCAAACCCAATTCCAGGACCTAGAGGGTTGCCTCTGGTAGGCAGCATGAGTCTCATGGCCTCCCTCGCCCACCACCGGATTGCAGCCGCCGCTGATACATGCAGAGCCAGGAGGCTAATGGCCTTTAGCCTGGCTGACACTCGGGTTATAGTCACGTGTAACCCAGATGTAGCAAAAGAGATTCTCAACAGCTCAGTTTTCGCTGACCGCCCAATCAAAGAATCCGCTTATAGCTTGATGTTCGATAGAGCAATCGGGTTCGCCCCCTATGGTGTCTACTGGCGAACCCTCAGGAGAATCGCTGCTACTCATCTTTTTAGCCCCAAGCAAATAAAAATTGCTGAGTCACAGAGACGCCTGATAGCTTCCCAGATGGTGACTCTGTTCGCCGCTAATGGTGGTCATCATCATCGCGTTCGCCAAGTACTTAAAAGAGCTTCCTTAAACAACATGATGAGCTCAGTGTTTGGCAGAAAATATAGATTAGATTCTGTTAACAACGAAGTTGAAGAGCTGAAAGAACTAGTTGATGAAGGGTACGAACTACTGGGAACTCTAAACTGGACCGACTATCTCCCTTGGTTATCCGAGTTTGACCCACAAAAAATCCGGTTCAGATGCTCATCTCTTGTACCCAAAGTGAACCGGTTCGTCAGCAGAATTATTGCCGAGCATCGAGCTCAAACAGGTGGTGATAGAACACCCGATTTCGTCGACGTTCTGCTCTCTTCTGAAGGTTCTGATAAATTATCCGACTCTGACATGATCGCCGTTCTCTGGGTAAGAAATCATTCTTTTCTTTCTCTTTTTTTTTTTTTTTTTGGTTTTGTTTTCCCAATCTCTGTTTCAGTGGTTACATAAGCAGCACATAATTAGCATCATTATCAAATTATTGCTTTTCTTTTTCAAGTATAAAAAGTAAGCGGTATTTGCACTTTAAAAAATTATTTTCATTACCTAAGAATACAAAATTTTATACTCTTTATATTCTAGTTCTTAAATTTCACTTAAAATACAGATCTTGTTACCTTATAAATGTAATATAAATTATTAATAATCACTTAATAAAATTAAGAATTTAATTTATTAATATGCAGTAAGATGATTAAGTTATAATATACTCTTTCATTAAAAAAAAAATTATCAGTATTTTGTTATAAAATATATTATCAAAAAATAAATTTATAAAAAAAGTAACAGTAGGCAGTCGGAAAATATGAAAAGGCAGAAAATAAAAATACGGACACTATTTCTAGTACTAAGCTAAGCTGGTGCATGTACTAAATATTGACATCTATGTGTTTGTGGGTGTAGGAAATGATATTTAGAGGAACAGACACGGTGGCGGTTTTGATTGAGTGGATCCTGGCAAGGATGGTGATGCATCCTGATGTGCAATCAAGGGTCCAGGATGAGCTTGACGAAGTTGTTGGCAGATCAAGAGCCGTTGATGAATCAGACATGGGGTCCTTGACGTATCTGACGGCTGTGGTTAAAGAAGTACTGAGGCTACACCCTCCGGGTCCACTTCTCTCATGGGCCCGCCTAGCCATCACTGACACAACCATTGACGGGTATCACGTGCCAGCAGGGACCACTGCGATGGTGAACATGTGGGCCATATCAAGGGACCCACAGGTGTGGACCGACCCACTAGAATTTGTGCCCGAGAGGTTCCTTGGGGAGAGAGTGGAGTTCTCCGTAATGGGGTCTGATCTGAGGCTTGCCCCATTCGGGTCGGGTAGACGGGTTTGCCCCGGAAAGAACTTGGGATTAACTACGGTCAGCTACTGGGTGGCTTACCTTCTACACGAGTTTGAATGGACAGTGGGGGATGACAAGGGTGTTGACCTTTCAGAAGTGCTCAGGCTGTCCTGCGAGATGGCTAATCCTCTTACCGTTAAGGTGCAGCTGCGGTGCACCGTAACACTACCGTGACAAAAAGTAAATTAAACCGAAAAAAAAAAAAAAAAAAAGAAGGTGTGTTTTATGTGTTTTCTTAAAATTAACCGCTGTAAATACAGTTGGAAGTACTACTATTGCCTCTTTATTTCTAATTCTCTCACATCAATTTCCCTCAAATGCAATTTAAACTTTTTCCTTTTTTTTTTTTTTTTTTTTTTTTTTTTGTCTCCTCACTTTGACCTTACTTCTAATATACAAATGCTTAAATATTTCCTCTTCTCTGTCAACCTATAAAAATTACCTTACTTCTCCGTTAATTTTCTTAATTGTTTTACATCTACCAACTGTAACCCAGTTTGGTAAATTTGAAGAAACACCCCAACTAAAAGTATTCCATCATACCACTATTAATTAAACACAATCATTTACTATACTAAGATGTCATCTTCTGAAATTTAATTATCACCAAACAATAATTATATAAAACTAACATATATATTATTAGAAAGAACATATATTTATTTTAATTTAAAAATGGAATTCTAATTCTTTTACCACTAGTTGTGATGCACGTTTTCATGTACCACCAATTTTGTGGTGAGGAAGTGGGAGCCCACGGGTGGATGGTGGTGATTGGCGACAAAATTCATCTAATTATTTTACTTTAATAAAAAATACATACAACAATTGTACATCATTGCTAATTCTGCCACATTCATTTCCAACTCAAACACAAACACCCCAATCAAGTCTATCGCTACACCAGCACAAATTACATACACATATATATATATATATATGTGGGTTTACACACTTTTTTTTTTTTTTTTGAAAAAGAAAAAAGAAAAAAAGGAAGAATTTTAAAATTAATATGTAAGGTGATTTAAGGTGAAGTTGGGTAGCAGGGCCCGGAAATGGTAAGTTTGGGCCGTTTTGGTGAAGAAAAGAATCCAAAACATTAAATACAATGTTCCAACTTTTTAGGAAACAACACCAGCATCGAAGTCGACGTTTTAAATCCCTGTTTGTTTCCTTTTCTGTCTCTTTTTCCTTTATTAAAATAAATAAATAAATAATTAATTTCATGATTATGTCTTATTAATTCCATATTTTTATTTTTATTTATTTGTGTTGCCAGCTTCTTGTTTTTGTTTATAATCGATTGACAATTGACAATTGACAATTTAAAAGAAATTATTTTATTTTTTATACGTAATTTACACTTTTGGATTATAGCAAACTGATTTACGCTTAAAAAAACTAACTAATTGGATGATCATCTCCCTTTTTATATTAATACATCAAATCAATGGTCTAAATTCTTTTTGTTTAACTTCGTAACCCATTTCTTATTATAAATAATAGTTTGGGAGTGTGATTTATGAGTAAGATATGGACTTATATCACCAACATTTATAAATTAATACAAAAACTAATGTGAATGATTAGTACATGTTATAACTTTTTTATTAATATTAAAAAACAATTAAAAAGTTAGATTAAATTTATTTAATATATTATTATTACTCAGATTACTAAAATTTAGATATAATAAAATATTTTATTCATTTTAAAAAAATATGATAATTTTATTAAAATTTAATTTGATTTAGTCTATTAACATAATTTTATTAAATTAAATATTATTAATAAATGATATAACTCAATTAATTAATTTAATAAATTATGTGGTTTACATATAAACTCCATGTTTATAAATTTACATACGCGATGACAAATTCTGACGTCAACCTGCTGTCAAAAATATAAATTATATTGGATATTTTACTCAATCCAAATATAGTGCTCTAATTAAATAATTAATATAATAATGATTATTACGTGGCTATTGCATAAGCTTTTAAGAGGCTAAAACAGGGACGGGATTAGTTGATTAATTGTTTGATTATTATGATTGTAATTAGTAGTTTTAATATTAAAAAAACTTGTTCCTTCCGCCGATGACTGTTGGTTAATTGTGAATGTAAGTTGTCCTTTAAATTCTATATATAAAATAATAATAATAATAATAATATTATTATTGTATTATCTGGTTTTGCCTCAATCAAATCATCCTACACTACAGGCTTCTTTGCTGACATCCTTCTTTTTTATAATTACATAAAATAAAATGCACGTACATCAATAACAATACAATTAATAATATTATAATTTTCAATATCAATACAATTGAATTCATATATATACATTTTTTTAAAAAACAAAATGTGCATTTTAATTCAAACTCGTACTCTTTTAACCAAAAATAATTGTATTATAACTTAAAAAGAAAAAGTAAAAATAAATTTAGATGAGAGAAAAACAAAAATCTACACTAATAAGAATTTTCTTATCTAAATTTTCAGCCAATATGCTCTAGATTAAATCTTTCTTATCTTTTTAGATGATACACACATTCTTTATTGATGAAGTTCAACATTTATCATCTTCTTAAATAATAAGTAAAATCCTTAAAGATGACGTTAAACATTTATTAGCTTCTTACATAAAATTTTTTAAGTTATATTTAACTTTTACTTCAAATTAACTAATATATATATATATTTATTTAATAATCCATTCCTTAAATTAAAAGCTCTTATGTTTAATTTACGTGTGCAATTATTTCTTCAATAAAAGCTTTTTTAGGTGCAAATGCGCAACAACTTTCCAAATTTTAAAAGGGAAGAAGTTTGAGAGATTTTGTAAATATATTAGTCATCTGATCTTTTTGTTCCTGTAATAATTCAAATGAATTACTCTATCATTGTTAAGATCTCTTAAAAAATAATATTTAACATCAATATATTTGCTTCTTCTATATAGCACATGATTCTTGGATAGTTTAATAGTTGCACTGTCATCATAAAACTTGTAATAGCTTATTCTTGCTTAAAATTTTGCTATTTAAGAATTCTTTTTAACCATATAGTTTGACAAGCATAAGCTGTTGTAGTGACATATTTAGTTTTATGGTTAACAAAATAACAAGTGGTTGTTTTTAGAAGACCATGAAATGGCTCCTGAACTCAGCATAAAAACATGCTTTATAATGCTCTTTTAATCATCCTAAGTCTCCCACATAGTCGCCATATAAAAACCCAATAAAATATGATTTTTCTCCCTTCTTGTGGAACAATCTGAAATCACTAGTACCCTTCAAGTATTGAAGGATCTTTTTAGTAGTTATAAGATGTGATTTTTTTGGATTTTCTATATATCGATTAATAAGACTTATAAAATGCATGATATATGACTTATTTTCTGTTAAGTACATTCTACTCTCTATAATTTGTTTAAAAAAAGTGTCATCAGTTATTTTTTTTTAGATTTTTTATAAGCTTTAACCTAATATCTGATGGTGTGGGGACACGATTGTAATCATTCATTTGAAACTTGTCTAAAATTTCTCTTACATATTTCTATTCTTGTAGGTCCTCATATAAAAATGTTAACTTTACATCTCGTTTGTGGATAAACCATGAGTTTTGAACAACCAATGCAATCACCAATCTAGTTGTATCATGTCTAGCAATTGGTGCAAATAGTTACATATAGTCCAGTCTATATTCTTGTCATATCACCCTTAGCCACTAACTATGCTTTATACTTATCTATTTCTCTATTTTTTCTTAGTTTTGTTTTAAAGTTTCATTTTACACTAATAGTTTTATGTTTTTTTTAGAAGATTTACTAGCTAATAAATAAGTTTTATTAGCTCTCATATATAATTTCTTTCAATATGTTCAATTTCATCATCTATCACCTTTTACCATTTTGCATCTTTGACAATATTTTTAAAAAATTGTCGGATCACAATTTGAAAATAGGATAAAATAAATTAGAAAATTTTTTGATTGATTAATTATAGTTACTTTCTAATTTAATATCCATGCTGGTTTTCTTCGAACACGACAAGAACGTGAATTGACTATTTTTTCAACTTGTTCCTCCACTACTTATATAACTTCAAAATTTTAAAAGTTGTCATTTTGGGAAATTACAAAGATTACAACTGCTAGTACATGCCGCTATTGGGGCTGATTTGTTTTTCACCATTCTCTCCATCAAAACTTATTGGAATTTATTCTTTCATGACCTTTTTGTTTTATGACCAGAACAGATTTTGATCAAAAATAACATCCAAATTATCTAAATCTTCATAGTGTTAGGATTATAGAGCTTATAAGCTTTTGGTTGATCACTAACTCTAAGAAAATTACATTTTCCCCTATCGTCTAGCTTTTTCCTCTTTTAATCAGTAATATAAATATATGCTACATACTTGAAAACTCTAAAATGATCAACAACTAGTCATTTTGCATTCCATGCTTCCTCTGAAGTCATATTTGGAATTATAGATGTGAGACTTCTATTCAGAATGTGAATACTCCAATTAATTATTTATAGTTAAAAAGTCTTCGAAATATTGTTGCTTCTCAACAAACTATGCACTATGTTCATTATTGTGCAATTTTTTCTCTCACAAACTCTGTTTTATTAGGGTAAGTGGGTTACTATAAGTTGTCTTTTTCTTCCATAAAACTCACAAAAATTTACAAATTTTTGTGAGTTATATTATCCCCCATGATATGAGTGAAAAACTTTTATTGAATTGTCAGTCACTTATTCAACATGTTCTTTAAAGCTTTTAAAAGTTTTAATGGCTTCATATTTCTCCGGTAAGAAATAAATCTATATTTTTCAAGTATAAATCATCAATGATAATAAAGATGTAGCTTTTACCTCTATTTAAAAATGGTGTTACGGGTCCGTAAATGTTGGAATGGATAAGTTATAGCGTCTTCTTTATTCTCTATGATTTTTCTTGTGGAATGAGTTGGTTGATCACTAACTCTAAGTTCTTTTAGCTTTTGTTTTTCGAGCTCCAATTTTTTGGATGTTTGTTAGTCTAGTACCTTGCTAGTTTTACTACTTGGAAAACAACCACAATTCAATTCTTTTTGAATCTTAGAGAGTTCTCTATCAGGTTACTCAAGTGTTCGTAACGACTATAAAAATATAGAATTACCGGATGCATAAAGTTTTTATAAATTATTTATTTTTGTACTCATAGATTCCATAAAAGGAAAGTTAAGATAATTTAATGATTGTTAAATTGAATAGTAAAAAAGGGGTAAATTGAATAGCAAATAATAATAGTAA